TAGCTTGAATCGATCTATTATTCAAAATTTTTTGAAGGCACAACTATTTTCAATCAAAGAAATTGTATACTAATCTGACTGTGTAATACTTTTGTTGGAGCTATAGAAAATTATTTCAAATATCCATTAATCATAAAACTATCAGATCATATCTAAAGTTACAGTTGAAACTATGCATTTGACTATAAAACATTTTAATCCGCTGAGATAAAGCCTTTTTAACAGTAAAATGGTTAATACATCTTTAATGATCATGTATTAAAAATAATAAATTTTGTAAAAAGAACAATAATGACATTAACTCAAAAATTATTTCTTGAAAATTATTTTTGCTAACAAAACGAGTATTTATCAACTTGAAAAATACCTTGAACGATACAATCTTGTATAGGAAAAAATTGTAACAGCCCAGGCGAGCAAAGGACGGGTAAAAAGACTAGTCATTTTTCTAGTCGTGACTATGCGTCATGTCTAGTCTTTTTCTCAAAAAGTCCTACTACATGACTAGTCCAAAATGGTTTGGAATCTTTAACCCCGTCTGGGCATCCCGTCCGAAAATAGATTTTAAATTAAGAAAGGCAGAGCGCCTGTGACGCGACATTTATTAGCTTTCAGTCTTATGTAGCGGTCTAGTTCGGACTAGTCTAAATGATAGAAATATGTGCAGAAAGTTAGATTCGTACATGCATACCTTGTGTCACTTACTCGTCGTCTACCCGATTGACTCATATGATCTAGTGATCAACTTTTACATGTCAATAAACATCTGAAGACACTAATTACTACAGTTTGACTCAACGTTTTCTCAAGTTTTAATATTTATAGAAACTACTTGTAATAAAATCGAAAATTAGTTAAATAAAGCTAAGCTAAATTAATTCAGAATTTTTTTAATTTCCTTCAACAGAATTTTTTTTTGATTATCGACATATGGAAAAAATTATTTTCTATTGGAAAAAACAATTAAAATTTAAATCAAAATCAAAATAATAATATATATTTCAAAAAAAGATCTTGCTTTTCATCTCATGGTTTATGTTTATCTTAATTTAAAATATTTCCTATTTAAATTTGAAAATGAACTATGATTCTGCCGTTTAAATCCATTTTTAAATTCAAATCATTAGGTTTTATATTGAAATAAAATAATATTTTCATATCGATGCATTAAAATTAATTTTTCGAATAAAATTATTCTTGATTGTTATTACAATGTAAAAATTTAAAAGGACATAAATAGCCAACTCTCGTTAGATACATCGTTCTAGTTCCAATACAAACTACTCTAAACGAATTGTCCGAATGATTAAGTCCAAGCAATAAAGACTGTTTGGAAGGATAGACTAGCCTGGACCAGAATTGGCATTACTTTCTCGAAAACGACTAGTCATCACCAATATAGATGACTCTTCATACTAGTCCGCGTTACCTATTGAAAACAGTTTAGACCAGTCAGGTATCCAATATTGTCGGCTAGAATGTTCGAATCCACCTATCGCCTCCGTTTCTTCTAGCTTTTGCCTTCAAGTTGGCGCGTCTGGACAGTGTGCACATACAAAATGGACTAGCCATGACAAGATTAGAGCATGTTTTGGACTAGTCTATTTTAGATGCAAGACGTTGCTTGTGAAGACGACTAGTCCTGACTAGCTGCAAATCATTTCAGACTAGTCCAAACGGCAGTGCAGACATTTTAGACTAGTCCAGACGAGTACTACGGACAATCTAGACTAGTCATGTCGGGCGTCACCCCTTATTCTTTGCTAGCCTGGGTTGTCGATTATTAATTTTTAAAAAAGCGCCATTGATAGAACATTTAAACGTTGGATTTTTTATAAAAAACAAGTACTATTTGTTGCTTATACAATTATCATACTTTAAAAAAAGAACAATTTAGCTGATCTTTTATTCATTTCATGTGAGTTAAATGATTATTTACTATTTTTTGGGCTCATGATCACATTCTTTAAATAAGTATGTCCTAAATCTGAGTGAAGACAGAGTAAACTATAGAGATTTAAGTTCCATGTTGAACATGAAGGATAGATAATTAGCAATATTGGAACAGCTTTTCACTTTGAAATCTTCATTTTTAAGATAAAAGACAAACTATAGAATAATGAGCTAAAATTCGAACACAAAAAAATACATCATTACCAATTTTAGGATAAATTTTGCATAAGAATCCGAACGTTGGATATGAAAAACAAACTTTGAAGCTGTAACTCAAAATCTAGATTCAATAATTAATCATATGCCTATTAGCTTTAGAATAATTTTTTTGCTTGAATACACTAATGTTGGATATGAATAATAAACTTTGGAGCTGCGGTATTCATTATGAACAATAAATCTGTCCAAACGTTAGAATACTTTTTGCTTGAGTATTCTAACATTAGATATTAAAACTAAACTTTTGAGCTGCATTCCTCAATTTGATCAATAAAATCTTTCCTAAATTTAGAATACTGTTTCGCTTAAATATCCAAACCTTAGATATGAAAAACGAACTTTTGAGTTGCATTCTTCAATTTGAGCAATAAAATCTTTACTAAAGTTAAAATAATTTTTCTCTTGAATATTCTAATCTTGGACATGAAAAACAAATTCTGGAGCTGTCTTCTTTGATTTGAACAATAAAACATTTCCTAATGTTAGAACACTTTTTGCTTAAATATTCTAATGTTGAGAATGAAAAAAAAGTTTGAAGATGTGTTCTTTGATTTAAGTAATAAAATCTTTACTAACTTTTGAACATTTTCTTATTGTAAAATCCTAACTTTAGAGCAGAAAAATAAACTACTGAGATATAAGAAAAATAAAATCTTACTTATTTTTCTAAAGATCTTCTTCAGTGATCATGAATTTAATAAGAAAATAATCATAGAGACCGTTCAATATGAAATCGATTTTAATACTTGTAACCGATTCCAATATGATTGATCAGTGAGATTCTAATAAAATTTATGCCAAGGTTAGAAATGTGATTCATATTTTACAATGTCGACTATGTTGATTCATGTTGTTTTTTTCTCTCCGTGCTTCTTTCTTTCCTTTCTCCTACATCTTGATTCTGTTCTGCATGTAAATTTCGCAATTACTTTATCCACTATTTAACGTTGAAGTTTCGTAATTATTTCACCTTATGAAATCCTGAAATTTTGATATTACATCTGGCTAGTAAGAGTATTATTACGTCTTATTCTCAACTATAAAAGCTTGATGAACATCACTGCTATGGACATAATAACTTTCAGAAATTGTAAAAAAACTTATTCAGACTATCTCCTATGGCTACAGCAATGCAAAATGATGATTCTGCCATTGAAAAATGGAAACTTCGTCGAACTATTCAATATTTATCATCATTACGTGGACGTGGTACATCATTAGTAACAATGATTGTTCCTGCTCAATCACAACTATCACGAACAACGAAACTTCTTACTGATGAATATGCACTATCATCATGTATTAAATCATCTCAAACTCGACATAATGTTCAACAAGCATTAAGTGCTGCTCAAGGACGACTTCGTTTATATACACAAAATACATTACCAGAAAATGGTCTTGTTCTTTATACAGGTATTGTTTATGATGAAGAACAACATCGTGAAACAAAAATTTCAATGTGTATTGAACCATTACAACCATTACAATATGGTCTTTATCGATGTGAAACACATTTTATAACTGATTTTCTTCAACAACAAATAATCGATAGTGTTAATGATTTAAATGCACGTCGATATGGAATTATGGTTATTGATGGGAATGGAACATTATTTGCTCGTATTGATCCACAACAAGGTACAACTATTCTTAAACGTATACAAGTTAGTCTACCAAAAAAACATGGTCGTGGTGGACAATCAGCTCCACGTTTTGAACGTTTACGTCGTGAAGCAATTCATAATTATTTAACTAAAGTTGCTGAAAATGCTAAATCAGTTTTTCTTAATAATCAACAACATGGTTTATGTAATGTTGATGGATTTATTTTAAGTGGTTCAGCTAATTTAAAACAAGAACTTGCTAAAAGTGATTTACTTGGTACACAAATACAAAATAAAATTCTTCGAATTATTGATGTTAGTTATGGTGGTGATAATGGTTTACAAGAAACACTTCGTTTATCTACCGATTTATTAGCTGATCTTAAATTAACACAAGAAAGACAATTACTTGATGAAATTTTTTGTCAAATAAATCTTTCATCAACAACAAATGAAACAAATACTGTTTCATATACAATTGGTATTGATGAAACATCATTAATTCTTAATGAAGGTAGTAATCTTATTGATCGTTTAATTATTTGGGAAAATTTAATAACAAAACGTTATGTTTATCAAAAACGAGATGAAGAAAAAATTATTATTGTTGCTGATAATGAACAACAAGCACAAAAAAAATTAAAAATTTTAATCAAACAAAATGATAATGAACAAATTGAATGTATTGATGAGATGAATTTAATTGATTATTTAACTGAAAATTATAAAGAAATGAATATTCGTTTATATTTAGTTACAGATCGTTCACCAGAAGGACAACAATTTCGTCTTGGTTTTGGTGGATGTATTGCTTTACTTCGATATCCAATTTCAACTTCTCTTTTTGATTCACTTGAAAATAATAATGAAAATAACGAAATTGATGCATACGACTATTAAACATTTTATTCTATATAATATAAACTTTTGTATTAATTATGAAAAAATAAACTATGTTATGAATACTTTTCTACATCATAGTCTTATAGGATAATATTTAAAAAAAAAACTAGACCTACATATATTTAGATCAGATCACTAAGACAAGGAACAAAAATGCCATATTAAGACTTAACTCAAATATAAAGAATAGAAAGATCTTTTATCTATGACACTTAATTTCAAAAGAAAAATACTAAAACAAAAATGAGAAAATAGGCTTGATTTAGAATATATAATAAATTGATCTTTGGTTTTTTTCCTAGTTGTTGATTTATGATATTAACGAAGAAAAATCATTGTAATTGCAAGAACAATAGGCGATGAGATCATTGTTATTATTCGTTGTTGTTGATTTAAACTTATTGCATTATTACAATAATCAGTATTGCATGAACAAACATTTGCCTACAAAAAATATATAGTATAACGAATAAATCATAATAAAAATAAAATGTATTCTATACCGTATTCTTTCCGGCTGTTTTATAACATGTTTTTAATCCAGATTTTGAACCACATGTTCGTACAACACTCTTGCTGCCTGAAACTATAAAAGAACAAATGAAACTTATTTATTTGTTTGTTTTTTATTTTTATATTTCTTTACTTGTTTGAATGATTTTTCGACAATAAGGATCCAGAGATACTTCACAATGATTTTTATATATATCAGGTAGATTATCACTTGCACACTCTTCATCGTCATTTGAATTACAAAAATAACATTCTAAATTTATCACCGATGGAACTAAAAAAAAATTTTTTTATTTCTTTTTATCTTAATTAATTTTTTTATTTTATCTTACTCAATACAATTAGAATAACAAACATATGCATTCTGTACTTCATGATTTATTTGTATGATAGACTGTATGTTAGATAAATTCTACCAGTTATGAGAAGGTAAATGTAAATAAGTGTAATGTAGTCGAAAAATATTGCATAAAAGAAAAGGCAGTGAGCCATGAAATAGCGAAAAAGAAAAAGGCTATCGAACATGATCGGACGCTCTTTATATGCATTTGATCAATATACGAAAAAGAAATAATGATATACTATCAGGTGAGATAAAAAAGACGCGCAGAGCTTTATATGAAAATGATTGATTGTGATATGGATGAAGAAATAATCGATCGTTCATATAACAAATAGATTCAGCGTAAAAGTTTTATTAAATATTAATTTAATAAATTTTAAATATGTATAAAAACCTAAAGAAAATTAAATGTCTATCAGTGACATCTGTGATTGATTTTGATTTTAAAAGAACTAATATAAAAAAAGAATAAGAAGATTTTTAATATAAAATATTTTATTTAAAAAATGCTTTTTCAATAAATATTTTGCTTTTTAACCTTGAGAGGATTTCTTTTTCAATAATCCAACCGTATTTAATGAATCATATTTCGATATTACCATTCGGTTAATACCTAAACTTGTTTGTTTATTTATATATATATATATATAGAAAAATAACATGATGGCCTATATGATGCATATCTATATTATATAAAATGTTCATCGATGGGTGCTATCATCAGTTGTTGCTGTTATTGTTGTGATAGAACATCAAATAAGTACAAGTAAAATTTAAAAAACAAACGAATCTTAATCTTCTGTTATATCCATATTTCATTTTCATAGTGAAAATGATCAAGTAACAAATGTAGCTGATACGTCTTTAAAAGCATATGATAATAAAATTCATGTTTCGGAAATCTATGGAAATAGTATGTTTGTAAAGAAAAAAAATAATATTTTATTAGAAGTATCTTATTGAATATATTTCAGATAATGATGTTGAACTTGCTCCATCTGATAATCCAACAACATCAACATATTTTCAATCGATTCTACGTTAGTAAAAATTATTTCATAAAAACTATTTCTGATGAATATTTATTTGAATAGATCCATCGAAAGAATCTACACAGCAACCGATTTCATTATCATCTCCATTAAAAGTAAAACAACATTGATTTTTGTATCAATAATAATTTCTTGTTCTTCAGACAAATCCAAATGATATATTACCAGAATCATCAAAAAGCCGAGAGCAGAGTACAAATTTAACGGCAAATTCAAATCTTCATCGACTACCATTAAATTCTTCATTGTCACTTTCCCCTGGTCAACCACAACATCAACGTGATATAATACGTCCAACAACAGTACTTAAATTACAAAAACATTCTAATTCATGTTCAACAATTTATGTTGATGATTCAACGGTTTCACAACCAAATTGGAAAGCTATGATAAAATGTGTTAGTATTGCTATACATTCACATATTCTTCATGGAAAATCAAATAAAACAATGAATATATTTGATGAAAAACTTCATCCATTAAGTGTATGTTGGAAAAAAGATTTTTTTTTAAAATTTATGTATGTAAATTTGTTATTATTTTTAGAAAGATTTTATACCAGATGATTATGATACACGAATACCAGAACAAAAAACAATTTATCGTTTTATGCGTATGCTTTTTACAGCTGCACAATTAACAGCTGAATGTGCTATTGTTACATTGGTAAATTTTTATTTTTATATTTACAAAATTTCAACTTATATGAATAAAACAATCTATTGAAAAGATGTTAAACTTTCTATGAGACGCTCTCCTCTCCTTTCCGAGGTTTCTCGAGAACGGCTATGAAGCTTTCAAGGAGATATGGGAGCCGCAAAGGCCAGAAGTCCTTCCTTTCATGATACACATTTATTAAGCCTGCCGAATTTCGTAGGAATAACATTTTGAAGAAAGAAAAAAAAAATACTTACTTCCAATTTGATCCCGATTGCATATACTGTGTGAGAGAAAAGAGAGGGAAACTTTATTTTCTTTGTTGAAAAATTGATGTTTTTCCGAAAAAAATTTCAATTAAAGAAGTAAAAGTTTCAATCAAAATAAACATTTCATTTTCGTTTGAGAACAGTTCTCTCTCATGATTTATACAAGTCTTTATTGATATGATTTTGCTCTGAAAATATTTATATTTATTGAAAGGATTCATATTAGCGACAATGGTGTCGATTACTATGAGAATAAATGATTATGTAAAGAAATAGATGACTAAAAGACTTGTTTTTTTTTATAAATCTATATCATATATTTATATTTCTATATGTTAAGATTTATCTCGAACGTGTTTTGAGTTATGGTGAACTTGATTTATGTTCATCGAACTGGAAACGACTTGTCCTTGGTTCGTTTTATTTTTATTTATTTTTTAATAACAAAATATAATTTTATTACCTATAGGAGCTGTCATGTTAGCATCAAAAGTATGGGACGATCAAGCAGTATGGAATGTTGACTTTTGTCAAATTCTAAAAGACATAACCGTTAGTGAAATGTAAGTTAAATTAACCGAAAAAAAAATAGTTGTTAATGCAATCTCTAGGTAATTAAAATATGAAGCACAATGTAGCTGCTATTGCTAATCAGAGGAAGATTATTCTATTCTATCTACATTTCTTCACTCTACTTTTACTTAATCCTTAAGAAATGCAATAAGCACTAATTCATTTATTATAACGAAATGTTATTGATATACGATCTGCGAGGTGGCGGGAGTACAAGTTTTACATCGTGTTTCACAAAACCCATCATTCAAAACAAAACCTGTATGTAATTTCGACAGCTCAAATAACTCCTAAAATTGATTTCGATAAAGACCATTATTTATGATTGTCTATCAGTGTCTCTCTGAGAGATTCAAATTTTCACTCCTATACTTCAAAACTTCTTTTAGATCATGTTTGATAAAAATGATTTGAATATAAATTTTTATAGGAATGAATTAGAACGTGAATATGTTCAACTTCTTCAATTTAATGTTAATGTTGCTTCATCTATTTATGCTAAATATTATTTTGATTTACGACAAATAGCAAAAGAAAATCAAATATCATTTCCTGATGAATTACTTACTAAAGAAAAAGCAATTAAACTTGAAGTAAATTTAATTTTATTCAAAATAAAAAAAAGAAAAATTTTATTTTTGTTTTATTAGGCTTTATCAATTGTTAATAATCGTCTTCAACAACCATTATTTAGTCCAACATTAACTTCCAATCAATCGAATTCAACACAAAATAACGCAATTTCTCGTCAACTATCTTCTCAACAACAACCATTGGCATCATATCTTTCATTACGACGATCAGCAAGTGTTGAATTTGCACAATCACCACGCAAATCACTTCTTATTATATCTTAGTAATTTATATTGATTTACTCAATTATTTTCATTTAATTGAAATACATTTTAATTCCTCTCTTGATGAATCTCCAAATTTAATCCATATTTTTGTTTTATTCAGACAAATCAATTCTACTTAACTGTTATGATTATTATTATTGGGTCAGATCTTAAAGATCTCTTAATTACTAATACATATACGTACACGTAAATGCCTCAGTTCTTTGTTTTGTTTGTTTTTTTCTGCAATAATTTTTAGATACATTTATATAATGTATATCGCTATAAAAACAGTTATCGTTTTTCTTTTTGTCTCTTGTTTATTAAGTCGTACGCGTGATTTCATATATGTACATAGATTTAGTGGCTTATTTGTTGTTTAAAACATTGTTTCTGGGTGTATTTATGACGAACTTGAACGTGGTTTTTTTTTGTTTTTTTCTAAGATGTAACTTATCATTGATTTGTTTGATTACTATTATTATTATTATTATTCTCCAGTTCTTTTTTTTTCCTATGTATGTGTGCGTGTGAAAGATAACAATAACAAACAAAAGACAATATTTATCTTTCTATTTCAGAAATATTTTTTTTTCTAATGGCAACGAAAGAATCCAATCATCGACAACTTCAATTTATAGGTAAGATGATATTTTAGTTTTTTCTTTCGTGATATAGGATATGGTGTTGTCTTTAATATACTTGAACTTGAAAATGAATATCATAGTTTGGAATAGTGCATATATATATATATATATGGGCAATTATATGCGTTAGCGGTGTGATTTCTTCACACAATAAAAAGGTGCTTATATCCCTAGACCTGAGCATTTCTTCTAAATATTTTTTATGTAACAGATATATGTTGAGCTATTCTAAGTGTCCTAAAAAACTCAGTCCTATAGACTGTGGTTCCACAGTCAATTATTATTGACAAGCTAGCGTAAGCAACGTGACACAAAAAAAGGGTGCTGCATGCATTACAAATTCTGCAAGTTCAAACAGTATTTTTAAAAGTCAAATAGTATATTTTGTAGAAGACTCTTTAGACTATAAAATCTCTACGGAAAGTTTTTCCTGAACAAGTTTACATTTTTCAGAAAATTGAGTTTATTCATTGTTAGCGATGTAAATGAGTATGAATATCAAAACGACTGAATGAGAAGTCCAAAAATCAATTCTAAATGCTACGAATCCTTCTTGAGAATCACTAGATGATAAAAAATCTCGTTCTAAGATTAAAGTAGATCTCTGAAGAACTAGTCTTAGGGACGCGATTCTTTGAAGTCTGATTTTATTGAAAATTTGACCATAGATATAGTCTATGACGTGAAGTCTATTCTGAGATTCTTGAAATTTTTCATCATAATTTTAAAGAGTTATTCGTTAATTAAGCTTGAGTTGAAAGAGTCAATATTTTTTTTACATATATTTATGAGAAAAGAATTTGTTCATAAAAATCACCTTTATAAAGAATTAATGATTATTTTGATATATTGACTATAACATGAATGATTAATAGACTTTTTTTTCGATACTAGAAATCGAACTAGAATCGTTTTGTTTTTGTTCATCAGATCTCGAATCACTCAATCCGATTAGTTGCATCGTGTGTGCAAATTTTTTTTTTCTTACAGTTTTGAGTGTTTATTCATCATCGTAACACACTTCTGTGTTTTTTTTGATGTCGTCATCGTTATCGATGAATTATCCTTTGAGACTTTATTTATTTATTCTTGAAATTAATTTGATAAATGAGAATGCATAAAACATTTCCTTTTATGAATACAACATAAAATATTTATAGATATTCATGTTCAATAAAAAATATGAATAAAGTATTCCATAAATTTGTTTTTTTTTTTTTGTGTTTTCAATTAAAGTCAATTTAATGAAGATATGTTACGGGTGCATTAAGAATTTTCATATAAGGTGGATCTGATGTACTACCATGTTTAGGTACAACATGTAAACATGGTTCATTACATGCATATAAATTATGATGTTGTGTTGAATCAATTTTTTTTAATGTATGTGTTTTACTTGTTGTTGTTGTTGGTACATCTGAATAAAATGAATGATCATAAGTTTTACTTTGATGTTTATCATAATAAGATGGTGATGATCCATTATATTTATATGATGTTGTACCACCACGTAATGCTTGATGTACTTCACGATCAGGATCTTTACCTGTTGATTGTACATACCATTTACGTGTTTCAGATTCAGATTTTGGTCGATAAATAAAATCTTTTTTACTATGATATGTTGTTGAATTTTGTGTATTTTGATGGCTACGTTCATGTGCTGTTTCTTTCCATGTACGAGATTCGTCTACAGGTGTTTGACTACGTGCTAATGTTGCTTCACGATAAGCTGGTAAATGTGCATCTCGCCATGTATAATCATTTTGATTTGATGAACGCCATGGTTGACGTGTTGCTGATGCACTACGTGAACGTGATGTTGAACGTGGTCTATGATGTATATGATGTTCAATAATTGGTGGTGATTGATTACGTGTTTGTGATGAACTATCACGTAATTCACGTCGAATACGTTGAATTTTTTCATCAATCGTTTCATGTTTTGATGGATATGTTTGATCCAATTCATCACGTTCGAATTCATCACGACGAGATTGTCGTTGATGTTCATGAGGTTTTGGTGATGTTGATCGTGTTTGTATATGTTGATGTGTTGAATGTTCTGTCCATGGATAACATAATTCACAATAACCAGGACATGTTTTTACTGTACATGGTTGAACATGATGATGTATTACATGTTGAACAGGTTGTGTAACTAAAAAAAAAATTAAATATGAAAAACAATTTTGTTAGAATAAATACGTGAAGCAAAACAAAAAAAAAAGAAAACAATGGACCTTCTAATATTTGTGTTGATTGTAATTTTTCAATTTCATCTTTTGTAACAGATGTTTCAACTGGTTTTGGTACAAAACCATATCGTGGATAAATATATGTTGTATTTAGAATTGGTACGGCTGGAATAATAGGTGCCGACTGTAACATATAAAAACGTGTTGACGCTTGCAATGGATTTTGTTGCGTTTCTTGAAGTATAACTGGTGTAGCTGTTGTTGTTGCTGGCATATACAACATTGTGTTTTTGTTTTTTATTCTATTTTACCAAATTTAAATTACTAGTGGAAGCGATTATGGTTCGTTTAGATTTATATGTTGAGACAACCAACAACACAATGCTGCAATCGTAAATGTATGATTAACAACGGGTCGTATGTGTGTTTGTTCTGTTGCTAAGCCACACACTCGTCACATACGCATACACGGCCTTTATATTTCAGATAAAGAAGAAAAAGAAAAGAAAAATTCTCGTTTTTTTTCATTTTCTGATAATAGTAAAAGAGAAGGAGAAACAGAACTCATAGAAAGTTAAATAGATGCACAAGAAAATATAAAGTAAAACAAGAATCTAAAGGAAATCATTAACAAGTAAAACTTCCTCTAAAATAATAAAAACTAAAAAAATTTATGATAAAAATAAATAAAATGAAATTGTTCATACACAGTCTCAATCATGTTTAAGTCAACATTTAAGAAAAATCATATAAAAATTAAATAGGTCATTTTGTGGTTAATAGATATCTTCAATTTATGGAGAATAATTCTTATTATTCCTAAAAAAAACGTTACTAAGGACACGAAGTCTTTTCATGATGTTCATAGCTCATTGGGATCTACATAATGCACATAGTCTCAACTTAAAAAGAATTTATTAATTCGAGGGCTTTCCTCGTAAGACATAACAACGATATCAAAATATTGTATCATTATATATATTTTTTTTCTTTTGTAGATATTGGTGCTAATCTAACTGGTATGAATAGAATTTTTGTCAATTGAATTATTATTATTATTATACAAAAAAAATCGTTCTTTGCAGATGGAATGTATCAAGGTATTTATGGTAGTTCAAAAAAACATGATGGTAATTACTAACTAAAGATTTACATATATATATGTATATTGATGTATAAGATTTTTAGCTGATCTTGATCAAGTAATTAAACGAGCATTTCAATCTGGTCTTGATAAAGTATTTAATTTACTAGGTTTTCTTTTTGTTGTTTATGTTTTTTTTTTTATTGTTTAGATTATTATTACTGCTGGTACTCATAATGAAACAATTCAAGCATTAGAATTATGTTCAAAATATGGTAATATTTTTGTTTTTTCTTCCGTGTATCTCTTTATATGAATTTATATTCTATAGAAAATTTGTATACAACCTGTGGTTATCATCCAACTCGATGTAGTGAATTTAATGAATCTAATGAAAATGAAATTCTTAATCAAATATTTGAATTATATGAAAAAAATTCTGAAAAAATTGTTGCTATTGGTGAATTTGGATTAGATTATGAACGAACACAATTTTGTAATATTGAACAACAAAAACGGTAAATATTTATAAAAAAATAAAATAAAATAAAATTTTGAAAATAATTGAGATAAATTTTTAAAATATAATAAATTTTTATTCTTTATTAGTTATTTTGAATTTCAGTTGAAACATTTAATATCATTAAATAAACCATTATTTCTTCATAATCGAGCTGCGTCACAAGATCTCTATGATATTTTATATAAATATCGAGATCAAATAACAAAGGGTGGAGTTGTATGTTGAATAATGATAATACAAACAAAGAAAACGAAAATTTTTCTTTATCGATTAGATACATTCATTTGATGGTACTCTTGATGAAGCACTTCAATTTATTCAATTGGGTTATTTTATTGGATTAAATGGATGTTCAATGAAAACTCAAACTAATTTAGATGTTATTAAACAATTACCATTAGATAAAATTCTTGTTGAAACAGGTATATATTATATAGGGTTGGATGAGTCATATGACACCGTGTCCCTTGATTTAGTACGAACTGTCATGGCTAACGAAGAAATTTCTTCAGTTGCTTCTTCCGATTTTAATTATTTTTTGCAGCAGTGCTCTAATAAATATTCTACAAAGAAAAAATTCGATAACTTAGTCAACCCAAATCCTTTTAAAGTTTTTATTACAAACACTATGTAGTATCTATAGACAAAAAGACCATGGAAATCGGAAGGAAATAACTGAAGAGGTTCTCTCGTGAATAGCTACGTTGTTCGACACGTATCCGTAAAGTCTTATGCTCAAGGCTCGATACCATCTGCCATGGAATGACCTTGAAAATGTCAATAATGACTGTTTATTTTCTATCATCTGTTCGAGAAACATGTTGACTGCATTGAAACATACATTTGCTCTTGTAGTTAGTTAGTATGGATGGACAGTTCAAGTAATTGAGCGTAAGGGCTTTGCGTCAGACTGGCCTTCTGTCCAGAACTGTAGCTGGTATGAGTTATAGGGAAAATATCGAGCTATTGAATCTGCCGAAAGGCAGGAGTATTCATCTTCTTCCTAGTTTCGATACACAATAAAAAATTTAAACAATTCGACCTCATTGATTCAACTGATGCTGATGTAGTAGAAACATACACATGATTTTTTCTAGCACGTTTATTAAGCAATTGATATGAATTTTGGATTTTTTTTTGGAAAAAAAAATTACTGGTTAAATTTTCTTTTTACATAAAACCACCCATTTCTTCTAAAACTAAGTTTAGTGTTGAATTATGAACTTTCGCTTTTTTGAATGAATGACTCGAACCTCCCGAGTCCTTGTTAAATTATTTGTTGTATAAATGAAATCATTATTTTAGATGCACCCTGGTGTGGTATTAAACCATCGCATACATCTTATTCACATATTAAAACACAATTTACATCAGAAACTGTTAAAAAAGAGAAATGGGCGTCAGGTAAAATGGTTAAAGATCGAAATGAACCATGTACAATTATGTAAGTGATTATATTTAAAAATTCTTTTTTTTTAATGTATTATACGTTTTTTTTTAGTCAAATATGTGAAGTAATTCATTCAATTCGTGGTAATCAAGAATCATTTGAGGACTTATGTGAAAAAATTTATTTCAATACAAAACAATTATTTTTTTCTAATCAATAAAAAATTTGTTTGGCTTTTTTTGGTATAGCTGATTTTTAAGTTTGTTTCTGTTTTCAGATAATTATCTAGTAAAAGATCCAATATGGCAGAACGTGGTGGAACCCGTGGCGGCTTTGGTACACGAGGAGGTAAACATGATAATTTATTCTAAAAGATTTTTTTTTTCAATTGTCTTTTTGAAATTTAGGACGTGGCGGTGAAGGTACTTAGTAGTAGGAAAAAGACGATTATTTTTAAAGATTTATTTTAATTTTTATAGGTCGTACTGGTGGTTTTCGTGGTGAAGGTGGCGATGGTCGTGGTCGAGGCCGTGGTGACAGTAAATAAAAAAAAATTTTTAATTAAATTCTTGTAATAAAAATTTATTTAGGCCGTGGTCGAGGTCGTGGCCGTGGCCGTCGTGGTCAACGTGGAAAAGAAGATTCAACTAAAGCATGGGTTCCTGTAACAAAATTAGGTCGATTAGTCAATGATGGCAAAATTCGTTCACTCGAAGAAATTTATCTATTTTCATTACCTATCAAAGTTTGTTGATTTGTTATATATATATATTTTTTAATCGTTAAATAATTTTTAGGAAGCCGATATTATGGATCGTCTCTTACCTAATCTTAAAGATGAAGTACTTAAAATAATGCCCGTACAGAAACAAACTCGAGCCGGTCAACGTACTCGTTTCAAAGCCATTGTTGTTGTTGGTGATGGCAATGGTCATATTGGTCTTGGTGTTAAATGTTCAAAAGAAGTAGCAACAGCCATTCGTGGTGCCATTATTCTTGCCAAACTTTCTGTTATTCCTGTACGACGAGGTTATTGGGGTAATAAAATTGGTTTACCACATACAGTACCATGCAAAGTATTATTTAAATACATATGAAATTTTTTATTAATTCTATATCATATTAATTTTAGGTAACAGGTTCATGTGGTAGTGTACTTGTACGTTTAATTCCAGCTCCTCGTGGTACAAGTCTTGTATGTGCTCCAGTACCAAAAAAACTTTTACAAATGGCTGGTATTCAAGATTGTTGGACAGCTGCTAAAGGATGTACTGCTACACTTGGCAATTTCGGTATGTTTTCTTTTTGTATACTTGCATTTATCTGTTCTTCTTTTTTTTATTTTATAGCTAAAGCAACATATGCAGCGATGGCCATGACATATTCATATTTAACACCTGATCTATGGAAAGAAACAGTGTACACCAAAGCACCATTTCAAGAATTTAGTGATCATCTTGCCAATACGCATAAGAAATATACTGTTGGTTTAGGTGACAAACAGTATCAATAGACAAGAACCAACCAAAAAAAATTATTTTAGCTCGTTTTTTCTTGTTTTCGAAAGAGCATCGTCTCATAAAACAAAAATAATAAGAACAACATGTGTGCCTCTCTTTCTTGTATGCACAAAACACCTACAAGTTATATTTGATCCGATAATAAAAAATATATTAAATAAAAAAAAGAATAACAACACACATAAATAGGAAATTTTATTATCAACAGCGAAATAAATGTGATTCATTCTAATCAATTTTGTGATTCAGATGATAATTAGAATCAATTGTCACTCTCTAATAGATTCTTGTATTAGAGAGACTAATTTTGCAGGCTTTTGAAAGAATACTTATAAGTCATTATTCCATAGATTTAATTTCTTATTTGAAAGAACATATCAGACTACAGTACCCTCTTTTTTTAAATTCTTATTTTTTATGCGGAGACAGAGGATGACAAGTTTAATATCTCAAAAAAAATGATCAGTTATTTATAGACGTGCTATTTTGTATAATCATAAAAAAAGCTTAGTTCAAAAAATAGGCACTGCATCTTGGCATGCTCTTTCAAAAAACAACAAACAGAAGAAAACAGACAAGGATTTCCTGTTTTTTCTGGAGACGCGTCTTCTTTCAACAGAGAATGACGGAAATTAGTATAAATTTTGGCGAAAAAACCGAAGGCCCAAATAACAAATCTTGTCGTTGATGAAAGATCAGACGTCTGGCTGTCTTTCCACGCATTTATCTCAATATTGACTTTTCTGACAAAAATTGGCTTTTTTTGAGGAAGAACGGGGGCGACTTGGACTAGATGATTAAGAAAAATCATTTTACTGATATTTTAATACAGATGTGTATTTTTTGTGCTTTTGAAGTTTTATTACAAGATTAAAAAAGCAATTTAATCATACAACACTGAAAATGACAGTTTAGTGTGCATCAGTTCTTTCTGTGTATCGTTATAAATTTATTCAATAACATTATAGTGAGAAAAGTCTGAAAAATATACACCACTAAACTTAACAAGTTTGAGACGAAATAAATACTCGTCGACAACTATAGTGGTCAATAATTGTGTTTACAACAAAAACTTCCAGTACTTTAAAGAACTGTGCTAATAAGACCCAAAACATGATAGCGACTAAGAGTTAAAGAATCGTAACACATAATTATTTTGAAATGAAGTAGACTTTTACGATTTTTATTTGATTTTTCATTTTATTTTATGCTTAACACATAATATTTCTCTATAAGTTAGATTATTATCCTCCGTTTTGATTAAACTATCAGATTGTTTCTATGAATTTTTTCTACAAAAATATCTCCAAAAGTAGTTCATCAATATGTCTTCTCATGAAATTCAATACAATATTTATTTACAAATATGTGTATTTTTGAGTTCTGTATAAACTTAAAGGTGTTGAAAATATATTTACCAAATATCGAGAAAAATGAGTATCGAAGTTTCAACAAAACACAGAATTTTTGCGTTTCAATGTACTATCTCTTGAAAGCTATTCAGAACTTCAAAACAAGCGAAATCTATTAAACAAAAAAACCTGATATATGATAATGGTGGATTTGAGGATATGAAAAGTTCATTATTAATGTAAAAATGTATAGAATTTTACAATTAAACCAATCGTGTTGAAACGAGAACTTAGTGCAATAGAAAACAAAATAGTTGAACATTTTGGTAATTGATTTTTTTTGGGAAAATTGAGTTTTAATGTTTCAACAAATGGAACAACATTTCGCTATTTTTCTCCTAATTTTAGTTTGAGAACTATACTATCTAATGGGGAAATCTCTCAAGGTGTCAAATCGCTTTTCGACTGAGATGATGTTCATTGAATGAGTAATAGAATAGTCTAGAATGGTATGGTTTTCTGAGCCTTCGTTCTCGAAATATCGAAATTTTACTGAATTCTTCAACAAGAAGTTGTGGTTCCGCTTAGGTCATGTGGAAAATCAACTTTCGACTTCTAACTTTGTACGAACAAAGCTCTTAATGAGATTAATTAATTGTGCAACTAGTATTTCCTTTCAAAAGATGTAAATAGATGAATCAAATTTATTTTTTTTTATACATGAGAGAATTTCAAATATTCAATATCTCACGACAGGAGATACTAGAAAAGTCACAACTTGTCCAATGAACTAACCTTATTAAAAACTTTGCTCATGCAAAGTTTGAAGTCGAACGTTGATTTTCCACGTGACCTGAGGGAGATCATAGCTTTTTGTTGAAAAACTCAGTAAAATTTCTATATCTCAAGAAGGAAGGCTCGAGAAACCAAATTATTCTAGATTTTTCTACTACTTACTAGTACTATTCATCAAATGAATATGTTCTTGATCGAGAAGCAATTCGGTACTTGGAGAGGTTTCCTCGTAAGTAAAAATATTATCAAGTACGAACCTGTTCATCAAGTCTAAATGATGATGAAATAATTATCTTCAATATAATAAAATTATTGTATGTTGGCATAAATAAAATTTTAATTGACTATATATTTTGATAGAGCATCAAACACTACACAGAATGAACTACACACATCCTTTTTCTTTTTTTTGTACATGTCAGAACTCAAAGAGAATCTGAGTTAAATAGCTAAAATTTGGTGTGGCAGTGGAGCGCTCAACAAGGAACAACTCTTATAAAAAAAAACCGGTTGACCAGAATAAAAGTTATTACCGAAATTTAACAAAGAGTTATAATTTACTAATGAGATGGTTAAAAATAAATTTTTTTATTTACTAACTAGTTGCTAGGATTCTATTCTTTGTCTTATTTTATTTTAATTTTATTAAATACATTCATATAAAATCAATGAAGCGTCGAAATCATGATTCCACATTATTGGATAATATCGATAAAAGTTCTACTTTTCGTATATTAATGTATAGTACTAAAGACTATGATAAATTATCATTCGATGCTAAACTGAAAGATTTAAAACAACCTGAAAAATATGAAATCACCTATATTCATCAACGTCTTTCAAAAGATTCTGTTAAACAAGCTTCTGGTTATGCAGGCATTTGTATTTTTGTTAATGATGATGGATCACGTGAAATCCTTGAAAAATTGAAATATATTGGTATTAAACTTATTCTATTACGTTGTTCTGGTTATAATAATGTTGATTTAAAATCAGCCGAAGAATTCGGTATAGAAATTGGTTATGTACCTAGTTATTCACCAAATGCTGTAGCTGAACATGCAGCTGCACTTGTTATGACTCTAAATCGTCATATACATCATGCCTATAATCGAGTTCGAAATGGAAATTTTCGACTTGATGGTCTTGTTGGATTTGATATGAATGGAAAAACTGTAGGTGTACTTGGTAAAATATTTAATGATAATAATATTTATTTAACAAAACAAAATAGAAAAGATGTTTTCTAGGTACAGGTCGTATCGGTCAATTTACTATACGAATTTTTCGTGGTTTTGGTTGTCGAGTTGTTGCATATGATATATATAAAATAAAAGATGATGATCGAAATGCATTAGGTTTTGAATATATTGAATTAGATGATATTTATGCACAAGCTGATATCATTTCAATTCATTTACCACTTGATGAGAAAACGAAACATTTAATTAATGCACAATCAATACAAAAAATGAAAAAAGGTGTTATTTTAGTAAATACAGCTCGTGGTGGTCTTATTGATACAAAAGCACTTATTAATGCTCTCAAATCTG